AAAATTATATAAAAGTTAATATAATATAAAAATTAAAAATTAAAAATTATATAAAAGTTAATATAATATAAAAATTAAAAATTAAATATTATATAAAAGTTAATATAATATAAAAATTAAAAATTAAAAATTATATAAAAGTTAATATAATATAAAAATTAAAAATTAAAAATTATATAAAAGTTAATATAATATAAAAATTAAAAAATAAAAATTATAATTATAATTATATATATATATATATTATATATTATATATATAATTATAGTTTACCTTTAATCCTTGTCTTTCTTTTCTTTTTCGATGGAAAAATTCGTTTTTATACTCACTGTCCCCTGGAAGTGTGCAGTAGAAGAGTAACCAAGGTCGATGCACCAGGGCACGTGCAGTTATTCGCCAAAAGGGCGTATTTGAACTCGTCTTCGCACACCACGTGCTCCGCGAACTTCACGTGAAGTTTATTCTCCGGACGGAAGATTTGAACGTACTGAGGAACGTTTGGTGCAAAATCCTTCACCGCCCACGACCTGTTGCCAAGTGTTACAACATCAGCGAAACGCTCTTATTCTCAATTCGCATGGAAAGTTACTGTGTCTACACCTATCATTCTGTCTCACGCCTGGATTATGGATTTTTAACGAAATTTACTAAACTTAAAGAGAATGTGCGAATACGATATGTAAAAATATCTGTTACAATATTTCCTGGCGAAGGAAGAAAAGTTTCTTTAATCTGTAGTACGTATAGATGGTGAAAAGGAAATTAGTTCTATACTGGACATCTTTTTTTTTTTTTCTTTATCGACATTGTTAAATGATGGATTATTTCCTGACTGTCTTTCATCCATCACTGTGTTATATAATTGTTAAAAATTTGTCGACTTTCCTTGCAATTTTTATTTCTCTCAGTTTTCCAAATCAAGTGGAAATGCCTTTGAAGCACTTAGTTTTTCTTTTTTTTCTTTTTTTTTCTACAATTCTTCAAACAAGACTGACCTGAGTATCGTGTGCTCGTCAGCGGCGGTTTTGTCAGCGTAATTCCTTGCGGCAAGAACAAAGCAGGCTTCAGCCTCGTTCATTCTCGCCCTGGTAAGATCGCTATCTTTCAGGCAGGATCCTTGAATATAAATTACCCTCTGCGCCCAAATGGGCACTTGTAGAATCATCCTCATCGTAGTATCCAGCTCCATCGGCGATAATAATACAACGTAGTAGTCCTAATTACAGTGAAATTCTGTCAAACTTCTGTCGAGAATATGTTATTACACGCCTTACCAGTTATTAAGACCTCGATCAAAATTACAATTTGCGCGATAAAGTTTGCAAAAACCTACGATACCAGTGATTAGACCAGTCAAACTTTTCTATGAGAATACACTGGGAACACCAACTTTCATAATTACGCGCGTTGACGTAAGCTTTCCTTTTATTGAAAATAAAAAAAGCTAATTGTAGAAAATAACAAAAGCTGTGCTAGGTGCTCGATTTTGATTGTGAAATGTTGAAGTCGAGTTTCTGGAGTCGTAGACATCTGAATTCATCAAACTTAAGAAATTTCAATTAAATAATGATACAACAATTGCTAGAACCCGTGAAGACGAAGCGAACGAAATTATTGAAAACTCAAACTTTCGCAGTTGCCTGAAAATCGTCGGATAATTATTAAAATTTCATTTGTAACAAAGCGACGGTTTATTACAGTCAACGAATTATTAAATTATTATTATTGAATTTGCGATTTTAAGGAGAGCAGGACAGAAGAAAATCGAGAAGGAAACAGAGAAGAAAATTGAATTATATGGTGGCGAGTAAATTGCACGATCGAATTTCTCACCTGTAGAAGGGGATGGGCGTAAAATTCATTTAGAAAATCCATAATGGTGTCGGCTTGAAGTGTTGTGCTGCACACCACCACGTGTTTCTCGCTTTGCGCTCTGTGCGAGGAATACGAGCCGCCTAACTTTTGTCTTTCCATCCACGTGAAAGCCAGCTGCTCGAACTGCCGAGAGAAATTTCGGAATGTCATTGTCCACTTGTCGTTTGTAATTATCGTGTGTTTCTTACTTTCTTAAATGAAACGCGACAATAAATTAACCGATTAGAGTTAGTAATCCGAGTCGACAGTTCTTGTCAAATTGAATTGAAAATTTTGAAAATGAAACGAGAGTGTAGTAAATTACGATTGACAGATTATTTCTAGTGTTTGTATCGAAAGTGGAATTTCATAATTTCTCGAGACAGAGAAAAAATTTTGAGTCGCCGTCAGAGCGAATTTAAACAGATTTTTAGAATTCTCTACTAGTAATGTGTTTGATAAATTTTTAAGCGTATAAAATTAAAGGACCACTACACTTATTTTTCCACTAACTTTCACTGCAAATAAACTATATAAAAAATATATAAATATAAATAAATAATGTATAATATAATATTATATTAAATATATTGTATTTTTTCAATTACATTTAATTAAATTATAATATTATACTAAATATATAATATTTGATAATTATATAATTATAATATTCTATTAAATATATTATATTTTATTAATTAAATTTAATTAAATTATAATATTTAATAGTTATATAATTATAATATACCTATTAAATATATAATATTTAATAGTTATACAATTATAATATTATATTAAATATATAATATATTATATATAAATATACAAACGCCACTTCTTATATTATAAAAATTATTTTTCATCATCAATGACTCAAATGAAACGCGTAACAACACCCAGACCAGGAATATTATCGTATTAACCCCTTAAACACAGTAAATTCTAATTGATTGTGTGCGAACGCGTGTTCTAAGGGCTCCTTTTGTCAGAATATATTCACGTATCACGTGCAATCGACAGAGCTGACGGATGAATCGCACAGTTATCGCAGCAATCTGCGCCACTAACCGGCCTTTGACATCCACTGTCATTAGTGAATGATTTCGGTCAACAAGTTGGACAACGTATTTGGACTAGGCTCCAAGTTTAATTAAACGCTTGGTACCGGCCGAACGTTAATTAGATTACGTTGAAATTTTACGAATCCTCTCGACAAGGAGCCGACAAATGAGCTTTGTGGTGATGTTTACTCATATACAGTGTGGATTAATTACGATGTTAAAAGTTAATTTACTAACTGCAGACGTCGTTTCACTTGCAATTACATTCACAGTTGTAGCTTTGCGTGATCGAAGAGTTATGTTAACAGTCCGTAGGTTTTAGTTTACTCAATCGTTAATTAACGCAATGATTGATGACGACGAGTGAGCGTGAGTAGCTATTTTCAGCTCGAAGTACTTTGGCTTGGTTGTTAAAATATTGCTATAGCTTTGTTATGTACTTATATGTTTGAGAGCTGCACTTTTAACGTAGCTCGATATAAACTGTAATAGCTATTAAATTGGAAGTTAGTCAATATATCTAGGAACAGATGACACTCGTAATGTTTGAATAAATTGTGAAAAGTTACAAATAAGTTTAGAAATCGTCACAAATGAATAAAAACATGACAAACAAAATAAATAAAATAAATAAACAAATAAATGAGAACATGATAAATAAAATAAATAAAATAGTAATGGAAACAAATAAAAACGCAGTAAATAAAATAAACAAAAGTTACAAAGGAATGAAGGTAGTATATAGGTAGAGTTGCATTTTGAATTTTTAAGCGAAGAGCATGATAATAAAATTCTGAAATTAAGCAGTTTTAATATAATAAATGGAACGCGATAAAAGTCACGAGAAGGTTGTCTCGCGACATTAGGTTCGCGATGTCTCGATTCCCATGCAGAATATTTCGGTGGCCATTAGGTTCTCCTTTCATTTAGTTCAACTTCCTGGCCATTAAGCGTCCCGAAATATAAAAGTCTCGCGTTATTATCCGTCTTTAGATTTTCCGTCGGATAGTGATCAAGGGAAGATCGATAGGACTTTTACGACCGTCAGGGAAACGCACGTGTCGTTTCTGTCGTAACGTTCGTCGTTAAAAGGGGAAATAAAATTTTACGCGAACTGGTAACTCTTGCGACGATAAATATCAGAAGAGAATTGCAGGAAGCAATGGCCGAATATTTCCTGCTTTTGTGAAATTCCGTACGGAGGATGAGAACTATTGGCGCGATAGTTACATGGTAATATGAACGAACAAGTGAAGAAGAATTAATTTATCATACATAAGAATCATCAAATTTACTTGATTTATAACATAATTTCCAAAGAAATATGGAGTAAATCTATCAAAAATATTCTACCGATGTGTATCTAGTTTGAAAGGTACGTTTAAATTAATTAAATATAATAATTTGTCGTTATTATATTTTTTAATTATAAAATCTACAACTTTGTTTGATAGATTTCCTACCTCTTATTTTTGTTTTTCATGTGTCAATTTTTTTATTTTGTTTGCTCTTACTTATTTAATTTCTAATAAAGTTCTACGAGTTCTGCATATAAATCGTGTAAAGCTTCTTTGACTTAATTTGAATTAATTAAATAATTTTAATCAATGGATCGTGATTGCCAACATTACATTTTGATTTATCATATTCTCCACGTAACTATCGCAGATGGTTTCTATCAAATCTTTGCACGAACATTATCGATTGATCATCCTCTTTTAACATGCATAGAAATATTCTAACATTTATAGATGCATATAAAAATATATTTCTGCAATCAAATGTAAATTCCCTTCTGAGCTCAACAGATTAACATATCATTTTTTTCTTTTACCAATTTCATCACACAGTTGACGAATGAACAAACGAAACAAATCAGAGTAATGGATTGAACTGTGAAACATAACGCGTACCTGGGTAGGTAGAACTATAAGAGCTACGCAGATCATGATGACCATGTAAAGCTGCGAGGGCCAAATGTCAGGTACAAAGTCCCCGTAGCCGACCGTAGAAAACGTGACTACAACGTAGTACGTGCTTTGAAATAGATTCAAATGCCTGTGCCCCGCTCTCTGGAAGTGTTGGATCCCACATACGCTGAAACAGACAAATCGGGAAGTGTTTCCTCGCGTATCACTAGATTAGGGTTTACCATCCATTGAAATCACCGCACCGTCTCGTACCTGGAGCGAATATATCGATTTACAATCAGATGTGTCAAGCAAATTTATATTCATTTGAAATATAAATTTATTTATTTTAAAATATAATTAAAGATAAAAAAAAGAAATAGGATTTCGATAGAAAATCGTTTCATTATACTTTCAATGTAATATCAATTCTTTTGTATGTAATTTTGGATTTTTAATTTCCCCATAAAAATTCACAATCTCGTTGAAAATCTATGATTTACATTTTTGAAGACCATGAACTTCTTAAGCAAATTTATATTTTTGAAAATGTTATTTACAAAAAAGGAAAGAAAAAAGTAGGATTTTTTTATAGAAAATTGTTTTAGATACCAAGCATTGTACTTTCAATGTAATATCAATTATTTTGTATGTAATTTTGGACTTTCAAATTCCCCATAAAAATTCACAATCTTGTTGAAAATTTATGATTTACGTTTTTGAAGACCATGGACTTCTTAAGCAAATTTATATTTTTGAAAATGTTATTTACAAAAAGGAAAGAAAAAAGTAGGATCTTTGATAAAAAATTGTTTCAGGTACCAAGTATTATACTTTCAATGTAATATCAATTCTTTTGTATGTAATTTTAGAGTTATAAATGCATAAAAATCCAGAGTTTCGTGGAAACCGATAGTACAAGTAGTCGTATCTCTCGAAGATCAAGAGATCTTCGTTATCGATTATGTATTCTTTCGTCTCGGAGGATGAGGAGAATCATCCGGTAAAAGCAAATCGTATCTAGCGGAGAACATTTATTTTTATAAGCGATTATGCACGCGACCTCGTTCTCATATCTGAATTAAGTTCATGTTTTTGCAGATTGTCTTGTTTCCCTTTCTTCTCGTGTTCAACCATCTGTTTTTACAACCAATTGATTGTACAACGTACAGTTCTGGAATTGCAGATATTTTTACAAAGTGTCTTAAGTTAGAATAAATTTGTTATTAATACAAAGAAGCAAATATATGAAAATGCCTTTAAGTGGTTGAGAATGTTAAAAACAATAAAAATCTCAACGATGGGTTAAAGAGTTTATAAACAAAAGAGTAGAGTAGAAGAGTAAAAAATCTTGATGATATAATTTGATAATTTCATTCGAAAAATTATTTTTAATTCACAAATATTATTTGTTATTTACTTCGTAGCTTAAAATTAGATCTATGTTGATCCTTCAATAGAGTACATTTTTTCTTTTTTTTAATTATACCGAGCAACTCTATTCAAATTAATGATGTACTGTTTCAGAAAATCAATCAATCAAGGAAATTTTGGAAAATTAGTCAGTCGATTTATTTGTATTTTCTTTCTTTCTTTTTTCATCGAACTCAAAAGAATTCCAAGAACTATGCAATTTCATGAAACTGAAAAAGAAACCGAGTAATTTATATAACGCTACGAAAATTATTGCTCATTGGTCATTAATGAGTTAATTGAACTTCAAAATTCAAAAAGAAGAATACACAAAATACACAAACAGACTGCGTTTTCGGGAAATATAGTCCATCAATTTGACTTTCGAGCAACTGAACGCAATATTCGCTTACTTACTCGAAATTCAAACGAAATGCAATCGCGTCACATGCGTGTATCGCAGTATCAATCGTACATACATTTCCGTGACTCGGCGTTTCTGTTTGAAATTCGGTTGCTCATATAGACGGGTCAGTTGAAATAAATAAATAAAAAAAAAAAAAAAGGAAAAAAAAGAGTAAAATAAAGAAGCGCCGAATGGCGAGAGGAAAGTAACGATATTGCTTTTTTAATTGGACGGCTTTCGTTATACGTTCGGGTGCGTTTATCAAAAAATATTCAAGCTATCTTCCATCCTCTCTCGGACTTGTTTCAAAAAAAAAAAAAAAAAAAAAAAAAACACGTATCATTTCTCAAAATCGTTTGCACGCTTGTTACGATTCTCACAGAATCGATATCACCGGTCACTTCACGTTGATCGAGATAACACCACAGACTAGGTATATCATACCTCGTCTGTGACAATATGATGGATTTTATCGACAGATAATTAATAGTGATCCGACAAACGTTCCTATGACTTCGTCAGGTTATTATAAACTGTGCATAATATTTATTTATTTATTTATTATACAGTTGTTATAAACTGTACAATCAATAAATAAAGGAATTTATTCATTAAGGAATTAACTTATTAAAAAGTAAATAAATAAAAGCGATTAGAGATCAAAGTACAGTTGAAATTTACAATTAGAAATACAATATAATAAAAAAAAATAATCTTTATCAATTAATAAAGATGAACATAACAAAAAGAGTGATATTTTCTTTATTATTTAATATACTGACGTATGTTTATACATTTAATTTACTACAGTGACAAAGGCAATTAATTTATTTGCACACATTTATTACTGCGAATGTTTGTATAGTATACAATTATATGTACTCGGATATAATTTAATAATACAAAAAGTATCCTTTTTATTATATTCCCGTTTGAATTATACAAATAATTTTATCTCCAATCGCAGACAGATATACGTATAGTCAGACATTGAAAATCTAAAAGTTGAGAAATTTAATCTTAAACAGTTCTATCATTATGATTATGCAGTGTAATGAATAAAAAAAAGAAACTTGGCACACGCGGTCAAGAGAGATGAAGAATACTAGAATTTTTATTATATTTCATCCTTTTGCCATTAAGTTCTGTAATTTATCGATACTTCGATAAATTCAATGAACCTCGACAAACAGAAATTTTGATGAATCCGTACGTTCATGAATACCAGTCAAGGCGTTGCGTGTAATTTTATTGCGATCCAGAGGGACAGAAATTGACAGGTCACATATCTCGACGATTTACCGTTATTGCAGTTTTGATTCTGGGAAATTGCTGCTTGATTCAATTTCGCGTGAACGACGCAACAAAAATTTGCAGCTAGTTTGATTTGACTGTTAAATAAATATGCGTTAAATTTCGTCGGCGATACGGTTGAATTGGTTGTTCAATTGTACGGTGTGCTGAACAGATTTAATTATCATATTTTTTAATTATTTTTTTTTCATTTCACGATATTCGTGACATTTTAACTTTAGAAAGATTGGAATGACAATGTGGGATAAAACGTTATAACCATAGGGATCGAATATCGAAATTTATCTCGACAGTAAAATTTCTACTGCGTGAACGAATAATTCTCTTAATGTTCCATTTGTTCGATTTTTACGATTATTACAATCTTCACTTTATATCTTATGTCGGCGATGATTTGTAAAGTTTAGTTGTAAAGAGTTGGGAAGATCAAATCGTAAAATTCGAAGTAGTAGTGACTCGGCGATGTGTAATTTAAGAAAGAATGCTTCCAGAGGATTAAGGCAATAGCACTCGATTGAACGATTTTCTTGATTTACAGGCGTGATTTTAAATGGAGGATTTGCAAAACTTCGATGGCTCATCGATAATTAGTAACTAGGTTGAATTTGAAATTCTAATTAACAGACACGGCATTAACATTTTTCTATCACGTCGTAAGACAGTTTTTCCGAAGTAATTTATCCTTGCTCCGGTACTGCCACAAATGTAGAAAAGTTTCAACACCATCAATTTTAAACTGGCAATTTTATTTGCATTTTATTCGCATTTTTATTTGCATCTTATGTATTCGCATTAACACAAAAGCGCTATCAATTCCCGAGGAAGGCAAGAAATCCCCGCGACGGAGGAAAACTTTCCTCCCTGCTCAACTTCACTTTTGTTTGCAACAACAAATGAACACACGAGGCAACATCGTTTTAAGTATAAAAAAATCTCCCGAGATCTTAATTGAATTTCACCTAAGCAACGCTAAAAATTCGTAGTTTCTAATTTTTGCAACCACGCGAGAGTATCATCTTCGAACGAGCAGACGACGTTTCACAAAAAATTCACAAATTGGCGAACTCATCGTCGTCAATTAACCTCCGAAAATTGCAATATTTTCTTAGTTTTAAATATATTTAAGTATAACCAAATACATAGGCAAAAAAAAAAAATAATAAGTTCATTACTATAATAATTTCTATCGAGTGATATCATACCGACGAGTTCAAAAGGAAAGTGACGGATTATCGTATACGGTATTGGTCACTCGTTATGGTCCGCAATCAGTTGCCAGCGCTTTTGCCACGCACGTCGAGAATTTTTTGTCCCAGAAATTGCAATATTTTCTTAGTTTTAAGTATATTTAAGTATAACACACGCGAAACAAATAATACATTTATTACTTCTCGATAATTTCTATCCATAGTGATATCATATCGACGAGTTCAAAAGGAAAGCGACGGATTATCGTATACGGTATTGGTCACTCGTTATGGTCCGCAATCAGTTGCCAGCGCTTTTGCCACGCACGTCGAGAATTTTTTGTCCCAGAAGTTGCAATATTTTCTCAGTTTTAAGTATATTGAAGTATAATCCATGCAAAATAGTAAATAATAAATTTATTACTTCTCGATAATTTCTATCGAGTGATATCATACCGACGAGTTCAAAAGCGACGGATTATCGTATACGGTTTCGGTCACTCGTTATGGTCCGCAATCAGTTGCCAGCGCAAATGCGTTAAAAATTTGACTCGTCTCGCTCGCGACTTGAAAATTTCGTTGCAGGACACGTGTAGCCAGTTTATGGCCGATGTTTCGCATGTTGTATCCAGTTTCAAGAACACGCAGACACGCGAACCCCGCCGCATTATCAATATTGATTGCGCAGAAGGGGTTCGCCCCGTTCCTTTCAACTCCGAGAATACAGATTACGTACATAGCCAGGGCCTGTTTCCTGCGAGTAACTCCACAAGTAGTCGTTTTAACGAAGCGTGCCGGCGACTATACATCTTGTAAACGCGACAAGCCCATTCGTAAGGCGAACGTCGAGCGATTTTCACGGTGACA